TCTTCCGATCCCCCCAAAACCCCAAAACCCCTGAGAACAATGATAGAATAAATGTGAGGTAAATAAATCAATATAAATAGTATTTAAGTCACTTGCCTATTAAAAATGAATTAAAATTTGAGAAGGAATCTCGGTAAATTTGAGAAGTTTATAGAGCCTCATCAGTTTGGATCTAGCTTACTGTTTAAATCAAAAGAAGAAACAGAGAAACTGTTTCACCAATATCAATCTTTGTTGACTGAAGGAAAATAGCCAGAGATCACAACTAATTCAGATCATAAATTGCTTGATATGTTCTTTGTGGCAAGAATTGCCCAATAGAGCAAGTAGCATGGTGAAGCGATTTTTAGTTTCATTGATTAAACTATTAAATCTCAACCAAAGTTTGATCTTGGAAATGCTAAAGAAAACTTTTCTTACGCAAGAATTTGGTAAACATTAACAAATTAAAGATAGATTGCAAAAAATGACATTTTCTTGAAGCTAATAGAAGTAGGTGAGATGTAGCTGTCAAAAATCTAGGCAGACAACCTTGCTATGATAATGAACTCACTGCTCTAAATGCTTGAAAACTAAGGCAACTAACTAAGTGAAAGTAATATCAGGATACTCAAAGAATTCTATTCAAAAGTTAAAACAAATTTTGAGCATAAAATCGCAAATAGTCCAGCTGAAAAACTTCAGTTTGTAATATACTCAATACTCAGAAACCTTTCAACTTCTAAAATGACTGCAAGAGAATCCTAATTTTTCTAGCCACTTTCCAAAGAATGTGTTTATAAAATAATAGAGGCAGTAGAATTGTGCTTTTAGGATTCCAAATTATTCTATAAAATCGATAGTGTATTTTTCTTGAAGAGGTTATAGAATGAACTTTCTCCTGAAATTATAAGTCTAATTGATCAAATGGTTGGAAACACTAAGACTATAAAAGAGGATATTTTCCTACTTCAAACTAACTAGATTTTAAGATTCATAGAAATACTGAACCCAAGTCAATACATTAAATTCATTAAGCTAACAGAACAATAGATTGGCAATTAAGTTATACCTAAGCTCTATTTATCAGAGATCTCATACTTCTTAACACTAATGGATAAAAACATACCTAGACATAAAAAATAGATTATACAAATTGAAAGAATTTAAAATAAGATTTAATAGAGAATATTTACTTTACTCGATAAATAAGAGCAAAGACATGATAATGCAAATCTTGCTCAATTACTTAAGTCTCTTAGTAAACTAGAGATCTTGAATGAAAGAGTTAATTTTGCTCTCTAAAATTGCATAATAATGAATTTATAAAGCAACTCAAACTTAGGGCCTCATGACATTTTATACATATTAAAGGCATTTGAAGAAGAACCTAAATCAATGGAAAAAGATTTATTTATATTCATTGAGAATATAATAATCAAATAATTGGAGGAGAAAAATATCACCAAGCCATCTTAATTCTTCGGATTGATGCTCCAGACACTAAGATTAGGGCATTTCAAGTAGGAATTATATCTGAAATTCCTCGATGAGATAGCAACAGTGTATCTATAAGATGATCTGAAGTTTATGGATCTGAATATCGCCAACAACATACTTTTTTCTTATTCATTATTGTACTCAAGCAATAACATGAGAAAAACTGACATAGATATTAAAGCTCAGGATCATTTGCTCAAAAGATGCTTTGAAATTATTAGAGACAAAGAATTCAATATTTTCAGCATTAATCCTCTCAATATTTACAAAGCATTGGTCTACTTGTCTCATCACAAAATCTTAAACTAAGAGTTAACTGACATTTATGACAAAATATAGCAATACTTTGAATAGTATAGAAAGACCAACCCTATTAAGACAGATTTCTTTCAGCAAAAATAAGTTTTCTAAATAGCAAAGAAAATATTTGGAGATGATTTATAGTATGAAATGGAATGTTCAATAGATGAACGCGAAGTTTTTTACGTGGACTTTTGGAATAAAAACAGCAAAGTTGTAATTGATTTTAGAGGTAACTAGCATTATCTGTTTGGTGACACTTCTAAGCATGTCTATCACGAAGATCTTAGAAACAAGATCATTTAAATATTTGGCAATAAATGCAAAGTTTTAAATATCAGGCAATATACAGCAATGGTTATTGACGATTAGAAAGAAGCTTTAGTCAAGGAGTTATTCTCATGAATACTAATTAAATTTATTTCAGCTTATTAATGATTTTTGAAATCTTCTTGACAATAAAGATTTATTCAATTTTTATTATCCAAATGAGTTTAATTTTGATAGATTTTGAAGTTTGTGATTCAGAGTTTTGGAGTGCAACCATAGACAGCGCTATCAATTCCGCATTCTCCGAAGGCGATGTTGAAGAAACCTTTCTCTCCCCATGATGGACCCCATGAGTTGGCGCAGATCCAGTATCCATCACCCCATCCAACAATTTTAACGGCGTGTCCACCGAGTTGGGCTCCTGAAGTGTGCTTGTAAACTCCACCTGAGTAGCTCATGAAGTCTTCGTAGACAGTGAATCCTGTTTCCATGGGACCATTATTCAAGATATCTGATTTGATTTCATCGATTTTAGTGGCTTGGACTTTATCTGAGCATTAGTATCTCTTGATATCTGATCCATCTTTGCACTTTGATGGGCAGCTTGGGGCTTTTCCAGTCTATGATTCGTAAGGAATGCAAGTATCAGCGGCAGCACCTTCACTCTCTAGGTGTGACCATGCCCATGAAAGAATACCTCCACTGCAACCTCTATCCCACCAATCGCAGGAAACAAGATCTTAAGGAGAGAGAACAACGTCGACTTTTCCATCTGAAGCAATACAGAGTCTGTCTGAAAGAGACTCAGTGGCACCGAAAGCCCAGCAAGAACCGCACTTAGCTTGATCTCTAATAGCGTGAACGCAGTTAGACCATTTGGTTCTTGAGTCAAAAGAAGTGGGGATAACATCATTGTAGACAGCTGGTGATGGGATACCTTCAATTGGTGGTTGAATGACTGTTCCAAGTCTAGCCCTGATATCTTCCTCAGTCCAGTTGCTGATTGGGTTAGTCTAGACGTCGTGAGCAGTCCAGGTGGTAGCCTTGGCTCTAATGTCATGGACAATTTCATCTCTGATTGGGTGGATTGCTTGAGCAACAACGGCAACGATGCCGACAACGATGAGCTTAAACATGATTAATAATTTATTATATTATAACTAAGGATCTACTCATCTATCTAATTAATAGTTGAGTAATTAAAATATTCGCTATTTATAAGCTATTTCCTAATAAATTATTTATAGTCCCTTAGGGGTTTTGGGGTTTTGGGGTTTTTTTTGGGGTTTTGGGGTTTTGGGG